GCGGCGACGGCCGGCGGAGCAGCCGCGGAGGGCCCGGAGAGGGGGGCGCGGGAGGCCGAGCCCTGGAGGCCTGGCCCTGCTCCTCCTGCTCCTCCTCCTCCTCCTCCCTCCTCCTCCTCCTCCTCCTCCTCCTCCTCCTCCTCCTCCTCCTCCTAGGAGTAAGGGGACAAAAAAATGAAACCCCTTCGTCTTCGGCCCTGCATTCGTCCCCCCCCCCCCCCTCCCCCCAATTTCAAAGTTGGGTTCGGCCTCTCGGAGGCTCTGGGGGGTCCACTTTTTCTGTCCTCTCACGCCTGTGCTGCCAAATGCTTGAGGCCAACTTTGGAATTAGGGGGAGGGGGGGGCGTGGTGTCAAGGGTTCCACTTTTTTGTCCATCTACGGGAGGACGAGACAGGGTGAGGACGATCAGGGCCAGGAGCTGTTGCAGGGCCAGGGTGAGAACGATCAGGACGAGACAGGATGAGGACGATCAGGGCGGTCAGGGCCAGGGTGAGGACGATCAGGGCCAGGAGCTCTTGCAGAGCGCGCCGCGTCGAGGCTGGAGGATATCGAGGTGCGCTCGTTTTCTGCAGGCTTCTGCTCGCCCTGGAGCGCCATAGCGGCCACGGCCAGAGCCGCCTCGAAGTCCTGGCCAGAGCGCGCGCCCCTGGAGATGTCCAGAGGTCGGTTCGGGACCCCCGATCAGGGACAACGTCCGGGGCGGGGGAGGCCCCGGCGACACGCCACGCAGTATCCCTCCACCCCGCGCGGCGGGGGGCTCGGAGAGGCTCGGGACGCGGATGCCTGGGGACTGGGGACGAGCCACGAGCGACGACGACGCCAGACTCCTATGCGGATTCCTACGCGGATCCCAATGCGCACGGCGGCAGTGCCCAGAACGCACTGGGGTGGGTGGGTGTTACGTCATAGGGGGTGGCGGGGGCCATGACGCCCGTCATGCCCCAAGCAATAAAGAAATGGTCTCTAGCGTGTCGCGCCGAAGCGTGGTGGGCCAGGGCCGGCGTCGCGACGCGCGAACCCAAAGTTCATGACCGTACGATCCGCTGCAATGTTCGGTGGCACACCCTGGGAGCCTCCCATACCATCTTGTTGGTGCTTAGACTGCAGATCGACGCCAATCTACGCTACTCGACGCTTCGTCGATTCTAAATCGACGCTCGTCGGCGCTAATCGACGCTAGTTCGCCGCTACCTCCTCGATGATCAGACGCAGCTCGACTCCACTGTGCTCGAAAGACGGACTTCCGAGGATATGCAAGGCTCCCGTGATTTGCTACCGAATGCAGTGTCTCAGGGTGGGGATCACTTTTGCCAGCACGCGTACGGGGGTAGGGGGAGGGGGGAAGGCTTCTTGAAAGGAGCCTGTTGCTTCGAAGGCGCTGGCCTTACATCTACAGAGAGAGGGAGAGAGAGGGAGAGAGAAACACATATATAAAAGGCCCGCGCCTTCTGAGAAGCAGGTTGCTTCAAAGAAGACTTGCCCCCTCCCCTTACCCCCTCTCTGCGCGTGGCCGACATTCGCGAACGGGGAAAACACATACACCGAAAATTTCGCGGCTCCGCACGGATTTCTTTGATCGGCGCTGGGCCCCCCAAGCAAGAAGGCGCTGTCCTGGTGGGCCCAGCGCCGATCCAAGACAAATCCGCATGGAACCCCGCCAAATTGTATGTTCACGTATGCTGTTTTCCTTCCCCGAATCATAGCCACCCGGTGAAATACGGTTGAGGGGAACGAGTGAGCAACACTTGCCCCTTTCCCCGCAATTCACACATGGCACGGTTACGCATCCTGTTCGGACATTCGAACTCGGAAAATCCCAAACCAACCTTTCATTTGGAGGGAGGGAGGGAGAATGCAGACCATATGTTGCGCGCGAATGTTGCTTCATTGTATCCGCCGTTTTTATGGAGGAGCTGTGTTTTATCATCCTCTGCGGCAGCTCATGGGAGCCTCCCATACCATCTGGTTGGCTCTTGCGAATCGACGCTAGAGCGACGCAGACCGACGCTCGCCGACGCTGAAACGGTGTTATCTCATCGATGACCAAACTCGCATCGACGCTAGTGCAGCCCAAGGACGGAAGTACGATGTTTACAAGGCTCCCATGACTGGCTACCGAACAAATCGCCGCACGGGCGATGATATGCAACCCCGCTGGGTGGAGGCCCCTGGACAATCTGAACGGGAACGACCACGCGATGGCGCGAGAGGAAGAGGAGGAGGAGGAGGAGGAGGAGGAGGAGGAGGACGAGGAGGAGGCGGACGAGGATGAGGAGGAGGACCATCGCATCTGACTGGAAATGGTTCTTCGTGTGATGTGCGCCACTGTGGCGCTCGGCATCCAGGCAGATTACCTGCTGCTGCTTTCGCCCTCCAACGCATGTTGCGCTGCCCGATTAGACATGGGGAGAGTGGCGGGGTTCTCAAATTCGATTCGGCTTGACTTCCCTCACTTGGGATGTCTTTACTTTCTCAAACAAGACAGGACAGCTAGTTTGTTGCTGCTGGGAAGGGCGCGGGGGCAGGGCTTCTGGAAACCTCTGGCCATACATTCTGAACAAATATTTTTAACACAAAAAACGCCGCAGCCCCAGCAAACCAAAAGACAGCTCTTTGTCTGGAGCCTTGGAATATGTTATGGCTTTTGCTGTCTTCGGAGAGCTTCCAAACGACAAGGCTGTATCCTGGCCGCTTCTCTGTATCACATGTGGCGTTGGTGGCCTGAGTTAAAGTTCTACTGCGCCAGATCTCGCACATCCCCTTGCCCTGGACATTTACCCACTGGTGAATAAACTCGTCTTGAGGAGGATCGGCAACCTCGGACCTGGGGTCCCGAACGGGCGGAAGAGGAGGGGCCGAGGGAGGAGCGAATAAGGCGGCGCCCACCAATGGTCTGACACGCGGCTTAAAGACGGGTCGGCCACGCGCGCCATGCCCTGGTTTGGCGGCGATCGCGGGCCAGATAGGTAAACCCTTAGATCAAGCAGCGATAAAAAGCGGACGATGAAACCATGGTCGGCCATGTAGGCCTGATATTCGGCTGCCGAGAGACCACCGCGCCTTCGAGCGGCCTGATCCACCCGGCCCACAACGCCGTTCCCATGGGCCAAAACCATTCCGTGGACGAAAGGAGAAAAGATGGTCTAGATTCTGGCGGGCCTTACCTTTACAAATGGTGGGAAGGGCGCCGCTGTGCTTACCTTTAGCGCGAAGCTCAAGCCCTGGGTACTGAGTCCCCCTATTGTAGCCCGCCGTGCACTAAGAGACGACGGCTCCGAGATGGCCCAAACGGATCGGCCGGATTCATGGGGGCACGCGCGGCGCCGCTAGCGCGACGTTCTCGGCGGCGGGCGAGGTGGCTGGCAGTGGCGCGCAGGTCTGGCCTGAAACGCAGGCGGCGCAGTTGCTTTCCTCGCCGAGAGCCGCCGCGGCCCAACCAATTTAGCCAAGCGTTGGGGCCGCGCTTGAAGCAGGGACATCGACGCAACTTTCTCCAGCCATGGCTACTTCGAAGGGCCATGCTTTGGGGGCGTCTTCCATGACCCGGTGGGCCGCGCCCCAGAGCTATTGCTGCGACTGAAATCGAGCGTCTCGGGCCGGGCACTTGGCCGCCACGCCGGCATGCCATAGTGAACGGGCCCCGCGGCGGCTATCCAGGACGGACCCAGGGGGCGAACGCTGAGGGCCCTGGGGCGAGCGCGGCCTCTGTGGCCCGCAGTGCTGAAGTATGCGTTCTGGCTCTGGCTCTGGGTCGACACCTTGCCGGCGAGGCCCGCGCCTTCGCCCCCGCGACGATTTGCCCGGCCCACGCCGGCCTTTTCAGAGGTTTCGCGCG